ATATATATATATATATATATATATATATATATATTAAGGGTTAAGAGTTGTTAGGAGTCGCAAACGCACTCACACACACAATGTTGTAAGGGTCGCAAATGCACTCACATGCACAATTAAAAGAGAAAAAGTAAATTCACAAGACAGAAATTCATGTGGTTCAGTTAAAATAACCGATGTCCACGGTCTCACTAGATGGTATTTTCTATTTCTTAATTAGGTTTACAATTACATGAGTATTTATAAAATAAAATATAAAAAAAAGTAAATGGGCTAAGCAATAAACCCTTCAGACTCCACATACTCAACAATCTCCCACCTGGAGGCTGATCACATCAACTGCACTCTAAAGTAAATATAGTAAACCTCAAAATCCTAACACCTCCAAGCTAGTGCGACGCCTTCTCAACAATTAACCATGAAGTCCAGTTTAAGTTATGCAAAGTTTCAACTTCTCAGTAGTAACCACCTTGGTCAACATATCTGTAGGATTCTCTGACCTAGGGATCTTCTTCAAGAACAAAGTACCATCACTGATTAGTCCTCTAATAAAGTGATAGCTTAACTGGATATGTTTTATCTTTGAATGGAACACATGATTCTTTGCAAGATGAATGACACTTTGATTATCGCTATAGAGCACTATCACACTACTTTTTGCCCAACTCTTCAATAAAACTCTTCATCCAAATCATTTCCTTATCGAGTTCTAAAATAGCTATGTACTCTGTTTCTTTAGTTGAAAGTACAATGCTTTTTTGAAGTCGAGACATCTAACTAATTGTTGTGCCACCTACCATAAAAACAAATCCTGTAGTACTCTTCCTTATGTCTAAACAACCTCCCAAATCTACATCAGAATTTATAAGTACCTTTCAAGTAGCATAACAACCACTTGACAACTTCCCAATGCTTCCTTCCTGGATTATACATAATTTGCTAACAACTCCCACTACATGAACAATGTCTAGTATAGTACATACCATTGCTTACATTAAGCTACCAACTACAGATGCATAAAGAACCTTAGCCATTACTGCCTTGTCTTCATTCGTCGTAGGTGAATGCTCCTTTGTGAGATTGAAGTGAACCCCCAAAGGTGTACTTACGATCTTAGCATCCTGCATGTTGAATTTCTTTAACAATTTCCTAATATACTTCTCTTGAGATAATCTTAAGGAATCTTTATATCTGTTCCTACATCAAATCCTATATATTAAGCAATAATAACTTATACGAGAACATTTTTAGAGACTATTCTTTGACGAAAGAATTTTTATGAATATTTTTAAATTTTTATATAATTCAATATTTTATTTTATATATTTAAGATGAATAGTTATATTGTATGATAATATTTTTAAGGACTATTCTTCGATGTAAGCATTTTTAAGAATTTTTTTCACTTTTTGTATAATTTAATTTTTTTATTCATATTTATATTTTTTAGAACAAATTATTAATAATTAAAAATAGTATTGTGTCATAATATAAATTATTTATTTTAAATTTAAAATATAATACATATATTTAAAAATATCTATTTGTAAAAATTTTAAATAAAATTTATATATTCAAATATAGTATTTATTGATATATATATATAATTTATTATAAACTTTAGTTATATATAATAAATATTTAACTTTTGTATTTGTACGGACTATAATACTAATTAAAGATAAGTTTTTGAAAAAATTAATAAGAGAAAATTTCTACAATAAGTTAATTTTAACTAATGTAGAAACTTATTTTATTTTTCCTACTTATTTTTCTCTTCTAGAAGTACATTTGAAGAAATTTATTCAAACACACCTTAACTAAATTTGGGTGAATAGAGAAGAGACAAGGATGTTTCACATAAGGAACTTTCAGTTTTTATGTATTATGTATGCCATAAACCCATGGTAACTCAAATTTCTTTACACCTTAGCAAAAAAATAAATAATGAAAGCTCTAACAAGCAAACTTATATGCCTTGACAGAAGAAAACTTTATATAAGCAAATGAGAAGAAAATTATATAGATCTAATATCAGTGAGAAAGGGAAGAACTGAACAAACTACTTTCCAAATAGCTTCCTGCGCCTAACTGATGGCTTGAGTCTCAAACCAGCTGACTCACCAATCACAACCTCATCTACTAAGTCCTTAAATATCAGTCTCTCAACATCCAACACAACCCCAGGTAAATAACCATGAAAATCTGTCCAACTTTCTAAGCCATGCATAACATCTTCACACAGAATGCTTTTCAGGCCATCATCTTCATCCTCAAAGCAGCATTCTGGCTTCTTGGCTTGAATCTTTTCAATCTCAAAGCATAGTTCTTTAAGCAGCTTTTGAGCACTCAAGGTTTTCTTTGTCAGTTTGTTGCTGTTCGGCTGAAACCATGGCTCTGGGGAGGAGCCAAATTTTGCACCAAGAATCTCATTCACAGAATCAAAGATTAGTTTCCTGTGAAATTTCTCTTTGTTCAGCTTCATACAAGCATCTTTTCCGGGCCCGGTTTCTTCTTTTGGAAGCAAGCTACTTGCCTTGGTTTGTTCCAAGACAAGGAACAGCTCAGGGTTAATGGGGTGACCCGATGAGTGAAGTTGAAATGTCATCAACTCAGAACTCAGATCTCTCAGTAAGAGGCCTGAAGCTAATAATATTTCAGAGATGTATCTGTGGTCTGGATTTGTGTTTTCACATAGGGAAGCAATGTAATCGATTCTGGCTTCGTCATGACTGGAGTTCAGCCGTCGAAGCTTCTGAACAAGGTGGTCTATGTTCTGTAATTTCTTGCGATTGATCTCGCCGGATCCTGCGCTGTTAAATGAAAGGCTATCTACAGAGTCCCACTGATCTTTAGTCTCATCTTCTTTAGATTCTTGAGCATCATCAGCTGCAGAATTTGATCTTACAGTTAGATAGGTGAAAAAATAATCACATAATTTAGGACAATCATATGGCACATACAAGGAAGATCTATCGGTCAAATCTTCAGGCCAAATTTCAGGACATGCAAATGAAGCAAGGGAGAATGTACAAAGTCAAAGGTTTCATAATGCCATGGCCTATATCAATTTCAATTATTATGTCTGGCGCGAGAGCATTTTTATCTAGCTGGTACTAGTAGTGGTACCAATTCCATTATTGCCTTTGCAGTGATTAATTCTTGGCGTGCATACATTAAAACCAGAAATTCAGGGATCCAATGGAAGCAATATCATGTGTAGGGACAAATGTTACATTAATTTTGATGCACAAGTTCCAATGCAAGCATGATCAACATAGTCCCTCATGAAAGAAAAATTTTCAATCTCCTACTTGAGGAAACATTTTAAAAATAGAAAGGATAAAGTTAGATACAAAATTGCAAGCCATCTTAATGCTGAACTGATTGTGAAACAAGAATTTGTCCTACAACTTATTTAATACGGTCATTAGACATGATCTGGATCTTATCTATTTTATGTTTATTTAAAAGACAAACTTACCTTTTGAATCTTCAGATATCTGCTTTACTGGGGATGGCACATCATCTCTGTACACAGAACCATCAAGAACTGAGATAGGACTTGGATGTTCTGGGGCATCTGTGGCAAGTTCTGCAACTGTCTCATCCTCATCCAACCTTGTAGTTGATTTCTGGAGCAATAAGCAAAATGTACACGTTATCAACTCATAAAGGGAATACGCTATTTGTTAAAATTTAATATTTCATCATGTTGTACTAATCAGAAAGCACGATTATAGAGAGATGAAATTGACACCTACTTTCTGCACTGTCTCTGAAATCAGTTGCTTCACAGCCTTCAAAGATGGGCTTTGGCTGTCATCAATTTCAACAGATTGTAAACTACTTGTAACTTCCATATCCATCTTTGAGTAGACAGTTAAACTGTCTGATTGCAGAGAAATTTCATCCCCTTGGCAACTTAAACTTCTTGAATATGATTCATTGCTTATCTCACTCAGTTGCTCGTCACTATGCTGCAAGTTGAGGGTTTTGGGTCTCAGTTTTCCACCTGGGGAACCCAATTCTGGGGCCTTCTTACCAGATTGTCTTCTTGGTTTGCTTGAATCTGATGGTGGAGCAGGTGGACGAGACCGCTTCTCTAAATCCAACTTCTTCTGTTGCAATCTCGGGCTCACTGATCCTGAGTGCTTCACTGAATTTTGGTTATTTTCTTTGGGAAGTTGTTGAGACCTAGCTTGAGATTGTACTGATCTTGTACTCTTACTACTACCTGCTTTCTTATCAGTGGAACTGGCAGACACATCCCGGTGATTGTTTCTGGGAGACTGATCTTTAGCTACTCGAGTAGCAGATGTACCAGTTTTATTATCTAAACATACACCACCATTCTGGTGTTTCTGGGAACCAGAAAGGCCACTAATTGGAATGACTGAAGAAGCAGGA